CTGCCTCCGCCGGCGCCGCCGTCTCCGCCACGGCCCTGGCGGTGCCAGCGCCGGCCGCGGCGCCCAGGTCGAGGATACAGTCCTTCGAGGAGATACTGGCACAGGTTCGCGCAGGCGCTGTGCCCGCGGGCATGCCCGCGGTGCCGGGCTCCGCGCACGCGGGCGGGGGGCTGAGCCGCGAGGAGCAAACCACGGCACGATCCGGAACTGTCGGAGGTCCGCGAGGACCTCCCCCACGGGTGGCGCCAGAGGCGCCGCCCCTCGCGTGCCGCGCGCATTGGGGAAGTGGTGCCCAGCGCCGGCCCAAGAACTCCGCGCGGGCCTCCGAAAGTTTCTGTTCGCGCCGTTCGCTCTGTTCCTCGAGAGACTGCCGGCCAAGCCGCTGTACGGTTGGCAGCTGCCGCAGAATCGGGCTCTCTCGCAGGCCTGCGCGGGCCGCAACGAGGCCTACCCGCAGGCCCGGCCGGAGGTGCTGCAGGCCGCGAGGGAGCAGGCCGCGAAGGCCGAGGCCCAGGGGCGAGAGGCCTTGAAGGCGTCTGGAGCTCCGCCTCCCAAGGGGCCCCCGGGTGCTCCTACAGGGGTCGTTGTGCTCGAGCAGAGATTCGTGGATTTCGTGGTGGGCCCGGCGGGCCAATCCTTGGCGGCCGTGAGCTACGCTGCTGGTGTCGAGATCCACGTCGACCAAGCGAACAAGTTCTCGGGATACAGCCTGCTGAAGATCTATGGAGCGCCTGGCTCTGCAGACGGCGCAAAAAATCTCATAGAGTTCAAGGTGGCCCAGTGGCTGCCCCGCGGCATGAAGCCAAACCAGGTGTGAGGATCCCCGGCCCTCACTGCTGCTCTGCCTCCCCTGGGTACCCGCAGGGCGGCGCGCAAAACGAGGGCGGTGACAGGGGGGCAGCTCCCCGCGAGGGCAGGGGGCTGCTCAAAGCATGGCCCGCAGGTTTCCAGCTCCCACGCCCCCGGCAGAGGTTCTCCAGTCGAGCGAGCGCTGTCTTCGAGTTCGGGCGTGGCGTCCCCCTCACCGAGAACGAAAGGACCCCCTAACCCTGATAGCGCAGTGAAGGCGTGACCTCGCTGAGGTCCCCGTCTCTGCGCCATAGGGCTGTGATCTCCGGGCGGCTTGGCTCGAGACACCTGCAGAGAGGAGCACCCCTCTCCCTGTCTCTGCTTGGCCCTCCTCACCTAGGTTGGGATGCAACTCCTGGGAGGTCAAATTCTGATTTTGCCCTGGTCCGAAATCCGGCTTAATCCCGCTTAATCCCGCTTCATCCGGCTTAACTCGCTGAATCCCGCTTAATCCGGCTCAATCCCGCTTCATCCGAGGCCCATTCCGGCGTAACAGCTCCCAAAGGGGGCCCAATCCCCCTCAAGCTTTCCGACGAAAGAAAAAAGCTCCCAGTAGCTGCCTCCCAGCCCGGGGTCCCCTCCCATTCAGAGGGTCAAGGGGCCCTTGTTGGGCTCGCCACCCGTGGCCCGTGCCTCGGCGGCCCCGCGGCCCGTGCCTCGGTCCGGCGGCCGGTGGTCCGGTGGTCTCGTGGCTCGGGGGCCCGAGGGAGCCGCAGCCCAGGGGCCCGGCCCCCCGGGGGGCTCGGGGCGGCCCTGTGGTTCTCCTGTTGCCAGCCTCGAACGTATCCCCATCCCTGAGATTGGCACGCCAAAGGGCGGCGACGATCTTAGGGATGCGCCCTCAAAACATAAAGGGAATCCCTAAGATGGGCATCGTGATGAGGAGGTGCCCAGCATAGGGATAGGGATATGTTCCAGGCTGGCAATCTTGGGCGTGGCGTCGTGGCGGGGTCATACGGTCGAGGCGCTGAAGAAGGAACCCTTTTCGTTGGGGAGGGGCTCGGTGCTCCTTGACTGCAGTGCAGTTTGCCTCAGGTGTCCCTGAGGTTTTCCATGGGAAGTCGAAGCTCCACTTCTGGGAAACAGGGGCCTCGTTCCTTATTTAGGATTCCTTGGGTCAGCGCCCCGACTGTAAATGGGGGGGTGGCGAGGGTGGTCCAAAACGGTACCCAAGCGGTACCTAAACGAGCCCCCTGGGGGCTCCGGAGGGGCCCGAAAGGGGCACGAAAGGGGGCCGTTTCTGACCCCCCCATGTATGAACCCCCCATTAAGCCACGCCCAAGGTTCGTGGCTGCGCCTCGGTTCAGGATGTTCCAGCCTGCTTTCGACACTGCTTTCACCAGGAAGGACCCCGAGCGCCAGGAGATGAAGCACCGAAGCTCGAGAGCTTTCGCGTGCCAGGCCCAGGGAGACATTCGTTCGACACTGTATCGACACTGTTTCGACACTTTACCGGGTGCTCGAAATGATTTCTGGGTTGTAGCTCTTAAGTGCCATGGGAGCAACAGAAGTTTCGGTGCCCCGTGTTTTCTCCCGTGCTGGATGAGGAGGAGGACGCTCCAGCGCCAAAGCCTGCCAGAGGGGATCGGAGCAGAGGGGTTCGGAGGATCGCGCCGAATCCCCAATGCATCGCCGATGCGGCTCGATGTGGGGCCCGATGTTCTTCGCGCCGACGACGGCGGTGCGTCGCCGACGTCGGCGATGCACCGCCGCGGCACCGCCGATGCATCGGCGATGCGGCGCGATCCTCTGACCACGACTGCTCGGGCCCCATCTGGGAGGCCTTTACAGAGCGGATCACGCTTGATTGGAGCATGCTTGCTTTCGCGAGGGCCTTCTTCAGAGTCACGCCCCCAGGCCTTGATTGGAGCATGCCTGCACTCGCGAGGGCCTTCTTCAGAGTCACGCCCCCAGGCCTCCTGGTCAGTGCCTCCTGCGGAGGGGGGAGAGGAGTGGCAGGGCCGGAGGCGGAGGGACGGTGGAGGGAGTGGAGTGCGAGGATTGAGGAGCACGGGCAGCATTGCGACTTTGGACGAGGAGAGGCGCAGGATTGAGAGCCGGAGGAGCCGGAGTGAAGCAGGATGGTCAGAAAGAGAATCAGGAGTGAAGAGTGGAACGGGATCATCATACACCATAAGAGCAAAGGGGGAGAGAGGAAGAGGAGGAGGAGGAGGAGGAGGAGGGGGACGACGAGGAGGTTGATACAGGGGGAGGGCGATGATGATGATGATGATGATGATGATGATGATGATGATGATGATGATGATGATGATGATGATGATGATGATGATGATGATGATGATGATGATGATGATGATGATGATGATGATGATGATATTGATGATGATGACGACGACGACGACGACGACGACGACGAGGATGATGATGATGATGATGATGCTGCTGCTGCTGCTGCTGCTGCTGATGATGATGATGATGATGAGGAGGAGGAGGAGGAGGAGGAGGAGGAGGAGGAGGAAGGATGCGCTATGTGAGCCACCCGCAGGCTCTTCTGCTGCTCGTCGCGGAGGGGCCCGGCACCGTATTACGATGGAAGCGAGCGTAGCACTTGCTGGTCTGCCGATCGCCGATCCTTGCTCCAAGTGAGCGCGTGATCACGCGATGGTTACTGGGGTGGAACGGCCTGTGGTCGCTGTGATGGGCGCGGCGATCGGCAGCGTTACCAGAGGCGTGATCTCCTTGCGCGCCCGAAGACATCGAAAACAGAAAACACCTTCTGGAAAGCATCCGAAGCCTCGGCCAGGCTACAGTCAACCCGCATAGTAAGGATGGGCAACCTTCCCAAGGGTATCCTTGCATCCTTGCCTCCTCGGTCCATCCTTCGCAGCTTTCGCTTGCCGCGCCCGGCTCGAAAAGCCTCGAAATGGGCGTCCAAGGCCCTTGCATCCTTATCGCGTTTTTTTATTGTACTGGTTGAGTGTATACACAATGTTCATTCTAATTCTTCGAAAGTATTTGATTTTTTGGGGGCTAAAGATCGTTTAATTTCGGATTATTCTATACTGGGCCTCTTCCTGGCCACAAGGGGGCCAGGAACAATTAGAAACGAGCACAGTTAGAAATGAGCACGATTAGAAATGAACGACGTGCACCGTTTGACGCCGTGTTTGTTTGATGCCCCCTGAGTGGCCGCCGCCTTGCCTCCCCCTCTCTGCGGCCGCCTGCTCTGTCCCATGTTCCCGCTCGTGCAAGTTGGCCAGTTCGCTACAACGGTGGCCCCGTTTAGTTGGCTCCTTCCGCCAGCGCAGACGACCCCTGCCTGGCCGCCCGCGCAACAGACGGTTGTTCGATGCCGTGGGCCAGAGCCCTTGGACTGGTGTTTCGTCGTGGGCCTTTCTCCGGTCGTGCTCAGGCCCGACAGCGGTCCCCCGTCGCGAAGATAGCTTTGTCTGCCTCCATTTGTTCGTGATGACTTGACCAAGGGCGCCCTCGAGGGCGCGAAGTTATTCGCGCTTCGCGCTTCTCGGTTCCGCTCCCATTCCTCCTCCTCCTCCTCCTCTCCCCTGGGAGGCGGCGCGAGAGCGCGAAGTTATTCGCGCTTCGCGCAGCGCGAAGCGCGAAGTTGGGAGCCCTTGTTGACGTCTGGTGTCCGCTTCCCTCCAGAATGGACTGCTAGAGAACTCCCGGAGCGAGATCACATCAGCATCTGTGGGCGAATCCGCCCGGGCTTGGAAGGCCCCAACACAATTTGCATCTCCGAGAGCATGTGAACAAGCATCATACATACTTCCCAGAAACATCAGGAGCTATTTCAAGATCTATGCAGTAGTGAAAGAGCCGCAAGCCTCGCTGCCGTCCCACCGCCGACGACGCCGACGAGACGAGACGCTCCCAACGACCACGACGACAGGGACGACGGCGGCGACGGCGACGGCGGGCTCCGGAGGCCTCTGGGCCTCGAGGGGGCCGAACGCGCCCACAGGCCTAGACCTCCGAGCCTCGAGCCTCGATCCTGCACTTCAGTCGGGCATGTCCCTCTACAGGAGGAACATCCCCTAGTCAAGCGAAAATAGGTCCGGGACGATGTTTCGATTGTTTGTTTGGCAATGTTTGGAATATTCTCTGGCTCTTTTGCATTTGTCGTCCGGAATTCGCCTGCACGAGGACATGCCCTCGATACGACCGTTTTGATACGCAACACGTACCGTGCTCGACACGTCCGTGTCAATACGTTCCGCGTTGGCTCAACGTATTGGCTTACGTTTTGGCGAACGCATCGCGTCAGACTTACGTTTCCAGTCTACGCGTTGAGCTGCGTATCAACACGCTGCGTGTTGCCTGTGGCGTATCGGGCCCGCTGGGGCCCGACCTGATCCTGCGTGGCTGACGGGAGGCGGGCCCGGCCCTTGCGGTCGCCCGGGACGCCGAGGGCACGACCGGGCGGAGGCCATCCACTGCTCCCGCAAGTGCCTGTCCGCGCTGCCCTGGCGGATCGTCCGCCCGGGCCCCCCTCCTGAGAGAGCGGCCGGGGCTCCGATCGGCCAAGCGCGGGAGCTCGGAGGAGGAAAGGGTACCCATAGCTCTACGCTTCCCTCGCTTTCCCCCTTTTGGGCCTCCTGGGAGGCCCTCGTCGCCACCGCTGGATTCGCCCTGAAGTCCTGGTCAGAACGCATCCCGGGAGAGGTCTGGGGAATAGCGGTATCGGTACCTTTCGGTTTCCTTAAGAATGGTTTGGAGGAGGGCCAGTCGAGACCACGACGGCCCTGCTGGGCGTTTTTGGGTGATTTTCCGCCTGGAAGCTTCTCGTCGAGGTGTCTGGATCTGCCCCAGAACACAGGTCGGGATGGACCCCAGGAGGGGTCCGGGGACGGATGTTGAACGGATTTGGGTTGGGCGGGGGAGCCACCGTCGTCTCAGCTGGCCCTCCTCCGGATGACCCTTCTGCAGAGTGGCCGTTGGTGAGGACCTGCGCGGTTGGACTTGGACCCCCCATGGCTGCCCTGAAGCCGCGCACCAACGGGCATTCTTGCCTGGGGCCCCTCTTACGTGTAGCGGGCTCGAGGAGAGGCCTGCCAAGGCTGGATTCAGACGTCCAGCGCGTCGAAACTGTCGCAGCGCCCAGTCGGTTGCCGGTTCCTTCGGCTGCAGACATTTTACAAGTTCCGAACCCTGGCCATGTTTTCAGAAGTCTGACCTGCAGGTGAAGGGCTCCCAGGTGGTTGCCTATGACAGGACCGGTTTTCTTAGAAGGACCTGGCACCTTCTAAGAAGGTTTCTGAGTTTCTGAGAAAACCCCGGTGCGCTCGTAAGAATGCCCTTGCCTTCTCAGAAGCCCCTTGCCTTGCGACCGCCCCTCTCGCGCCGCCACCGCGTGAGCGCCTCCACTAGAGGAGGGGGACCCAGGCTTCCTTGGAGGCTCCATGGTGACTGTGCGCTGGTGACTGCCGCCAGCGAAGAGCAGGGCCTCCTGCCAACGCGGGGTAGCCTGCAGTACGGCATTGAGGAGACATATCAGGTTCCCCTATGCCGAATTAGCACTGACGACACCTATGGACTAGACTCAGGCGAGCACGGACAGCATCTCGAACTCTGAGCCACAGCAGACATGCCCAAGGTCGTGTTGACAGAACAGCAGCGGCTACTAGACGACAACTTCGTCACAACGATGCGGGTCTATGTGACGGCGGCTTCACAGAGGACTGTAGTCGCCAAAAGAGGACGACCTCCTCACGAAAATTGAGGTCCAAATGAACCGAGTAAGATATCCCAGGCGCTGTACACAGGACACAAGGTTTGGTTCGTTAATAAATGATTCAAACTGCAAGATATCAAGAACGCGTCAAACATATGGACTTCGAACTATGTGTACACATGGAATTCGCCAAGGACGGAAAAGGGGAGACGGAACGCACCATTCGACTCCGCCTTGTATATGGGGATGTATGGACCTCGAGGCTTTCGATGTGCAGACGTTTCAGGGACAGCCGGGCGATCGAGCCAGGGGCTACTCGCCAGCACGGCCGTGCACAAGAAACAATGGAGCATCACATCCATGGACATCAACAATGTCTTTTTTCCAGCGGCACACGTGCCGCGAGTTGGCCAAGGCAACCAGCAAGAAAGAGTGGATGGTTTGCTCTACTTCTCCACCGGGCCACGCAATGGGGCCACGGACGCCCCAAGGGTGTTCTTGCTCAAGCTTCGCGCGACCACTTGAGGGTTCGGGCTACGATCCACATCACACGATGATGAGTTCGAGATTCGCCAGGACCTCTTGACACAAACATGGCCAGTACTGAGGACATGGCCGACAAGTGCGCCAACATTGTAGAGAACAGGCTCGGCGCATGCAAGCTCAGTAAACACATGCAGGAAGTGCGCCGTGAGGCACGCCGATGGCAGCATCATCCTCAACCAGGGCGAATCTGGCAAACAAAATCGTCGGACAAAGCATCCAGAACTCACACGTACTGAAGCCGAAGAAAAGGCGACGGAGATTGCGGCTGACATGTTCATCAGCCGTCGGGGTGCTATGGCTTGCGCCTTCATCACCCAAGTCTGCTTGATGGTGTGCGCAGTTTTTCTACCAAGTGTCCAAGAGCCGACTGACATACAGGTGCGACGAGATTTCGATATCACCAGGACAGCGCAGGCAGGTCCAAACGAAACTGCATACGAAGCTTTGTCTCCAACAGGAGGACTAGACCTGTGCAACGACTCCAGCTATCGACGCCTCGACGGCGACGCCGACGACGAAGTAAACGAGTGTGGCATCAGAGGTGCCAACTTATTTAGGCGTGGACGGACGCAACGTGGTAGATGCGCACTGCAGGTCCCGTCGGCTGCAGGCACGCTCCAGCTATCCAGCGGAAGCGCTAGCAGCAGCCCGCAATTTGGAAGACTGCTACCTGGTTATCGTGACGCTACAAGAACTCTTAGCGGGACCTTTCACCCCAACGCAGCTCAAACACATGAAATTCGTGGACAATGAATCAAAGGCTACATTGACCATTGATTCAGAGCCCATCTGCAAACCTCTATGAGCAATGACCTAAACAATGACAGCATGCGCACTGCTAGGTTACGTTAACTGAAGTTGAGAAGTTATGGACAGGGGTCTTGTACATAGTGTACAAAGGTGTGCCACACGTAATATGGCAGCCGGCGGACATACCAAGTGTGTATTGAACGCGAGCCTCCCACAAGTGATGTCAGGTATGCATTATTTCAAGCATGACCTGAAGAAATTCGCACTGCACCGGGCTAATCAGGTTTCAACTACTAATCCTCTACGAGGGCCGAGGGTCGAGGCAACTTGTTGGATAGCATGGCCACATGATTTCTGCGCCTGGTCATGGACCCATCACTTGTTCTCGGATTGGTTTGGGCGTCTGGATCTCTGGACGCCTGATCTTTGCGAGACCAGTCGCTGTCATATTTCGTTCCACTCTGTGCGGACTCGCAACCGAATGCTACAGTCAAACGAATCGCCTGGTTGTGGGGTTGTCCGCCGTGTGGCCGCTGCTTGCTGGGGCTGGTGCTGCGAGCGGGTACTGTATGCCATTCGGCTCCCCCCTCCAACTTTGAAAGGAGGTTAAAGGCGACCAAAGCGAGCTATCTGCAACCGTTGTGGCTCACAGCGGCGCACAGCATTATTTGCCTATACGATCCTTCGTGCAATATTGCTTGCGACGGACGGAGAACACTCCTCCTAGCATGCGCCCTCTTACATATTTCACCCCATGTCCCATCTCCCAGCTAGGCCCTCACACCTGCAGCATGGCTTGGCCATGGGAACGCCTAAGGCGTAGCATATGGTTCGGTTTATCATAATACGTTCGACTAACCAGCGCTTGGGTCAGCCCAGACTGCTCCCTCTTCCCCTCCCTCCTCTCCGCGCGCACACAATAACCATCTTGGGGCGTTCCCGGGAGCGCCTTTGAGGCTTATTGGAGCTATGTTTTGGCTATCTTGGGGCCCTCGTTGAACATTGGCAGGAGGTTGCTCGGGTTTACAGCACTCGCTGGTCATTGCTGGAATATTTTCGGGGTTGCGTGATATCACGGCTCGCTGTGATTGGACATCGTGCCAGGAGGTGGCGAATATTGTGTCTGAATGTCGCGCGGTGCGTCAGCCTGGAGATGTGCCGCGGTTCCTCCTCATCTCCGTCCGTTCCCCATGCTCTGACTCCTCCTCCCTCTCCAAAACTTATCCTGCGCCTACTGTTTCTTCTCTGCCTTCTAGCCCCTAGTCGTCGTCATTCTCGTTCTTGCTGTCCTTTTTCCTCACTGTTTCCCCCACATCCTCCTGCCTGTCCATCCTTCTCCTGCTCGCACTAGTCGTTCAGTTCACCTTCCTCCTCCCGGTCCTCCTCCTGCTCCTTGACTGGTTGTTGCTTGTCCTTCCCGTCTGCCCCTTCCTCCTCCTTCGCCTCCGCCTCTTGCTCCTGCCCATGTCGCACGCACACGTGCCCGCACACTACGTGTGTCTGTCTGCTTGCCTGCCGTGTGTGTGTGTGTGCCTGTCTGTTTGGCCGTCTGGTTGTCAACGTGTCGTTTTTTTGTATGTCTGTCGTTCTGTCCCTCTCTCTCTCTCTCTTCCTCCCTCCCTCTCCCTCTCTCTCCCTTTCTCTCCCTCTCTCTCTCACTCTTGTTATTTCCCTCTATATCCCTCTTCCTCTCTCTCTCCCTCTCTTTTTTTTTCTTCTCTCTCTCTCTCTCCCTCTCTCCCTCTCTCTCTTTCTGTCCTTCTCCTTCTCTCGTTCATATGAACGGAGATCCCCATGCTCCCGGGAGAACGGGATAGCACGGGGTCCCCTCCCAACCCTCTGCGAGGTCTGCGTCCGCTTCTCGGGGAGGTCCTCGCTGCGGGCGCACCACGACATCTGCTACGGCTCCGACTGCGACGCGGCCTCCCTTTTTGCCCCGCCCGCGCGCACGCTCACTGCTCCTCCTCCCCCCCCTTCTGCTCGATCAGTGTGCGTTGGCACGTTAAAGAACGGCCGTGCTCAGGAACAGCGCCGGGGCGTCGCCCCGTCACGATGCCGATCTTTGGGACGCCCTCATTTTCTGAGGGCGCATCCATTCCTTCTCCTCCTCCTCCCCCTCCCCCTCCTCCTCCGCCTCCTCCTCCTCCTCCTCCTCCTCCTCCGCCTCCTCCTCCTCCTCCTCCTCCTCCTCCTCCTCCGCCTCCTCCTCCTCCTCCTCCTCCTCCTGCAACTCCTCCTCCTAAGGTTGTCATCGCCTTTCGGCGTGCCGCTCTCAGGGCTCACACGCTCCGCCGGGAGGCCGCGGGCCTGCGGTGAGCTCGTGCCGTGCCGGCGCCGCGGGCACGCCAGCGCGGGGTTCGCACGGCGCGGAGCGCCCGGCGGCGGCGACTGGGGGCGAAGAGCCCTCGGGGGCGGGCACCGCACGTGTTCGCCCCGGGAAGCTTCGTCGAAGGCGTGGGCCATCGTCGCCGCTGGATGCACGCAGTGTTGTGGAGGGCGGTCCACGGAGAGGAAGCATGCTGCCAAATAATCCCCCGAATGCTTGAATCATGTTTTAGATTTGTAAAGAGCAGGTTGGGAACACGTTTATAGCATGTTCTACACATTCGAAACACATGTTTGATGCAATGATCGGATTGGTACAGTGTCCATTGTAGTGGCATCCACAAATGTAGTGCTCTCCCCTGGGCTACATTCGACCCCATCGTCGCCCCCCGAAAGCGCCGCCAGCGGCCCAGAGTCGGCCGAGGTCGAACGATCGGCACCACCAGAAGGCCGCCACGGCTCCAGGTCGGACGAGCCGCACGGTGTCAGAGACCAGCGCGCACGCCGCAACGGCACGAACGTCGTACAGAGGATTTGTCTGACGCTGGGAAGTCGGATACGCGTGGGGGCGTTCCAGAAAGGGCCTCGCCTTCGAGGGTCGAAGGAGTTGCCGTCTCCTCCGCGGCGGAAGGGCGGCGGAAGTACAACGAGGCCGCCTCCGCCAGCGGAAGGCTGGCAGAAGTAGAACACATCGCCTCTCAGAGATGACAACCTCTTGGGGTTCAGGGTTTCCCGAATCGGCCGCGTGACGCGGCCAGCTCGGCAAGAGCTGAGTGTGCCCGTGGCCGCATGTCTCTCCAGGGTTGGGCTCTCGCGTGGACGGTATATGCTGGCCCCCCTGGCATGTGTTCAAGTGGCCTCCAGGTGTGCCCAGACATCCGGCGCGACGATTTTTCCGAGGCACGGAGGAGGAGGAGGAGGAGGAGGATGAGGAGGTAGGAGGAGCAGGAGCAGGAGCAGGAGCAGGAGCAGGAGGAGGAGGAGGAGCAGGAGGAGGAGTAGGAGGAGGAAGAAGAGGAGGAGGAGGAAGAAGAAGAGGAGGAGGAGCAGGAGTTGCAGGAGGAGGAGGAGGAAGAGAGGAGGATGAAGGGGGAGGAGGAGGAGGAGGCTCTCGGGGTGGGTCTCCCCGGGGCCCCATGGAGGCACGCTAAGGGCCAGAGGCGTCGAAACCTGTTGACCCTGCATCCTCCTCCTCTTTCCTCCTCCTCCACCTCCTCCTCCTCTCCTCCTCTCCTCTCCTCTCTCCTCCTCCTCCTCCCTCCTCCTCCTCCTCCTCCTCCTCCTCCTCCTGCTCTCTACCTCCTCGTTTCCCTCTCTTCCAGGTGCGCTACATCTGCGACGTCGTGATGCGTCAGTCCTTGAGCGGTCGGCCAGAACCCGCGTGCGCGGCCTTGCGAGCTGGGATCTCTTCCTCCTCCTCCTCCTCCTCCTCCTGCTCTTCGATATCCTCCGCTTCCTCCTCATCATCCGCCTCATCCTCTCACTCTTTCATCTCCTCCCCCTGCTCTTCATCTCCTCCCGCACCTTTCGCACTCCCTCCTCCCCTCCTAACCCTTCCCCTCTTCCACCTCCTGGTCCCTCCTCCTCCTTTCCAGGATTTTCGATTGCTTTCCTCCTACCTACTCCTTCCTCCTCTGCTTCGCTCTGTTCACCGCGGATCCTATCGCTGGCATCGGGGGGCCTTGAGGACGAGCGCATGACGGGCGGGCACAGGCCAGCCTATCGTTGGCACAGGACGGGCGGAGGAGAGGAGGTGAGAGGGCCGTTGGTCGTTGACTGCTGTCCAGGTTTTCAATCGTGTCTGGAACGTCTTCATGTGAGCAATGGGGTTCGAAGGCTTTCGGAGGCTGTGGGAGGTTCTCGGAGGTCTTCGAAAAGGCTCTCAGAAGTTATCGGATTCGAGCCTTCCGACCTCGTGCTTGCCCGACGGGGTTGACACGAATCTGCACAATGATTCCGCACCTCGCAGAACTGGAATCTGCCGTAATGTCAGCAGCCTTCGCCGGTGCACATGGGAACCAAGATGCAATCCGATGTTTCCCCACTTGTTCAGGCTCGGCAACTACACTGAAATCGGGCCTGTCCCTCTACAGGGGGAATATCGAAAAATAGTTTTAAACAATTGTATGGGGGGGCCATTTTGGGGATATTGTTTCGCCCATTTGGGAGTAGTTGTTGAACATCTCTCATTTTTCGTCGCGAATCCCCCTGTGTGGGGGACGCGCCCGACTTGAAAAGCTGCACGCAGAGTGCAGGAAGCTGGCGCCACCCCGCCGATCCCCAGCAGAGGGCACACGTCCACGGGCGAGGCCCCCTCCCGGGCCCCCCCCATGCACCGGCGGACCTCCTCCGGGGGCCCCCGCGGGGGGCCTTCGCTGCGGGGGCCTCGGGCCTCCCGGGAGCTTCTCCCGGGCGCATATGCTGTGGCGGTCTCCCGGGGGGGTCCTCTCGCGGGGGATGCCGCCGAGTGTCAGCTCGAGCTGCCTCGCGAGCTCTGCCCCCCTCCCCTCCCCCGCCCCCCTCGCCTCCCCCCCCGCCCCCCTCCCCTTTGATGTGAGTTTGGGCCCCTGGGGAGGGGCAGAGGGGGGAGGGGGTCCGCCAAAAGAGGTCCACGCGCCTCCTCACCCCCGGCAAGCGGGAGGCGGCAGATCCCCGAATCAGCTGGTCTGTAGGAGTTCTCCTCCTCCTCCTCCTCCTCCTCCTCCTCCTCCTCCTCCTCCTCCTCCGCTGGTTCTGAGAAGCCGAGGGGTGCGCTGCTGGATCCGGAATCGGTCGGGCGACGTGGCCTCGCATCGTCTCCCACGGTCTCACGCGTGGTCTTCCACGGTGTCCCACTGTCTCCCGTGGTCTCCCACGAGGGCGCGAAGTTATTCGCGCTTCGCGCTTCGCGGTCCTCGTTCCTTCTCCTTCTCCTCCTCGTCCTCCTTTTCTCCCTTTTGGGGGGCGGCGCGAGAGCGCGAAGTTATTCGCGCTTCGCGCTTCGCGCAGCGCGAAGCGCGAAGTTGGGAGCCCTTGGTCTCCCGTGGTCTCCCGCTGCCCCCCACTGTCTATCTCCTGTGCATCTGTACCCCTATCCTCAAGTCGGGCCTGTCCCTCTACAGGGGGAATATTCAAAAATATGTGTTTTTTAAAAGTATGGGGACCATTTGTTGACTAGTTTTGGGCTTTTGGGAAGTTGCTGCTTGGTATTGTTAAATTTTTCGCCCAAGACCCCCCTGTAGGGGGACACGCCCGACTTAACCCTATCCCTGTCTCTGTCCCCACCCATACTCCCTCTGCCTCTATATCTGTCGGTACCCCTGCCATCCTTATCAAATACCCGATCCACATCCCGATCCCTACACCTTGAACTGCCATCCCTGCATTATCAGCTATCTCTCTTTCCCTCCCTCTCTCTCTCTCTTCCTCTCCCTCTCTCCCTCTCTCTCTCTCGCTATATATATATATATATATATGTATGAAAATAGATGTATGTATAGATTTCCACCCCTATCCTTATTCCTATCCCGATCCCTACACCGTGGCCCCGCATCCTGGCCCCCGTCGTGACACCCCATCGTGGGCTCCCATCGCAATTGTGTAAAGCGCTGTTCTGGGCCTTCTGGCGCACGCGTGTCGTGTACGCACTGGCGCTCCTGGTCCGGCGCCTCCACCGCTGGCCTCGGATCGGTCCACGCTGCTCGCTGCCCAGGCCTGCCGATGTCGAACGCCGTTCGGTGCTCAATTACTTCAGTTCGTCCGCACTGACGCGCGCTTGTTGTCCAAATGGCCACCCCAGCGTGGGGGACGATCAGATCTGTTCACCGTCAATTGTTTCCGTTTCGCCACAGTGTCGCGTCCGAGTGTTGAATGGGAGAGCGCGCTTGTGATCACCCCCCTGTTTGAAATCAGTGGGGCACGCTGCGAATTTCACCATGCGGCATGGCGAATACATTTAGTGTGCGTGCAAGCCGTCGTGGCACGAGTGTGTTGAAACAAGTGGATTTGGAGACTAGGTACCCTGACGCGTTGTCATATTTTATTTGTGTCTCTGGGGCATCCACTGGAGGAAGCATGCTCTGTCTCTCTCTCTCTCTCTGTCTCTCTTGTTTTTTTGTGGTTCTCTCTCTCTCTCTGTTTCTCCATTGCTCTCTCTGTCTGTCTGTCTGTCTTTCTGTCTGCCTGTCTGTGTCTGTCTGTCTTCTGTCTGTCTGTCTGAGTCTGTCTGTCTGTCTGTCTGTCTGTCTGTCTCTCCGCCTGCCTGCCTGCCTGCCGGTCTCTCTCTCTCTCTCATTCTGCCGCTGGCTTTCCTACTTCCTCTGCCTGAGCGAGATTGCAACAAGGACTCCTGACAGTGAAGTAATGCGCCCTGGGTGTGCAGGGGGGCCGGGGCAGTGCCCACAACGAGATGCTGCGGTAGGGGTGCCCAGACGGGGCCCGCTTGCGGACCCCCTGGTGGGACTGAGACGAGGAGGCGGGCACGAGATCAGCAGGAGGCCGACCTGACATGGATGAGTGAGACCGATCAGGGCAAGCACTGCAGCACGAGTCCCTTCTTCTGGGACCCTGCGAGAGTTCCTGGCTACTGAGATTGGCCAAACAAGGCCGCCAGCGCCAGGCCTATGTTTGCACGGAGCGGTGAGTGGCGCGGATCCTCGCTGCAGGCGCCCGCCGGGGTGCGTGTCGCCCGTCGTGGCGCAGCACAGGGCGTCGTCCCCGGAGCACCACTTCCCACCGCCGGGGCCGCTCCCGCGCTCGGGCACCGCTTAGAGGTGGCGGAGGAGCCAGTGGGCACGAAAGAGGTGGCGGCAAGGGGCACGGGCTGCCCGTGCTCCTCCTGTTCCCATCCCTGTTCTTTATTTCGGGGGTGGACAGAACCCCCAACAGTGACACGTCGATTAGTGAATTGTCCGTTTTCGGTTCTCGAGAGGGCGCCGTGGCCGTTATTTTCCAGGCTTGCGCCCGCCAGGTTTGGGCCTCAGGTCGTTTTCATTAAACCACGTTTTACTAAAGGGGGGTCTGTCCATCCCCGATTATTGGCATATACTCCTACTGTGCCACCCCGCCGGCCGTCAGCAACTCGATCTGGCAGGTCTCATCCTACCTGTGGAGAAGGAACCAAGCAAAATCAGCGCTTGTCGTCTCAACCTGGGCGTGGTGTCGTCGACGGTGCAAAATGCGTGACGAAAGTAGGGCGCGGTGCACATCCCGTGGGAGAGGTCGAAACCTCGCTCGCGCCTCGGCACCGCGCAGATCTCGCTAGAGTGGTTTTTCCGCCTTGACGCTGCGCATTTCTGTCAATCGCCACTGTTTGGGGGCTCGCGCGAGTGGGCGACTTGCCGTCCGTCGCCCAAGCGCCGCGCGCATGCTCGGAAGTGGCGGTCCCACGCAGGCGCGGCGCGTGGCTCGTTCGCCGAAGCGCACGAAACCGGCAGCGGCAGCGGGGCCGCGCGAGGGCGTGCGACATGCCGACCTGGCCCAAGCGCCGCGCAGCTTGTGAGTGTGGCAGCGCCGTGTCGGCGAGGCGCATGTACAGTCGGGGCGCTCAGGAAGGAACCCTTTTCGTTGCGGAGGGGCCTCGTTTCTTTTTTAGGGTTCCTCAGGTCAACGCCTCGACTGTATTGTCTTCGCCGCGCCCGTCGCAAGTTTTGCCGCGCCCGCACTTGCGCGGCCCGCGTGCTGCTCCCTTTGCCAAGTCGTCGGGATTGGGGCCGCGCGCGAACGCCTTCCGTTTGCAAGGTAGGGACGCGTTGCAATCTTTATGCCAAGTTGTGCCATATTTGAATGTTATGTTGAGGGAGGGAGGGTCGGTGGAAATATGCGCTTCTCCCCCCATTTGGTTATTTTGGTTTTGGTTATTATTTTCTCTCGGGTTATTTTGGTTTTTGGGTTTTGGAAGCTCAAGTGCTCCACGCGGCCTCCCCCCAGCACCTCCTTCTTTCTCTGGAGCTCCCAAACCCAAAAAACCAACATAACCGAACACACACCGTGTTTCCTTGCATTCCAAACCAAAATGACCAGAAGCACAAAAAAACAAACATACACAGCGTTTCATTGCACCGAAGGCGCCAAACACTGTGTATGTTTGGTTTTCTTGCTTTGCAGCAAGGAGAAAGGAAAGGAGGAGGTGCTGGGGGGAGGCCGCGCGGAGCACTTGAGCTTCCCAGGCCCCGAAAACCGGAATAAGCAAACATACGCGGTGTTTCCTTGCATCCTAGACCAAAACAACCAGAACATCCAAAAATACACAGCGTGTCCTTGCACCGAGGGCGCCAAACACTGTTTACGGTTGGTTTCCCTGTTTTGCAGCAAGGAGGAGGAAAGGAAAGGAGGAGGTGCTGGGGGGGGAGGCCGCGGGGAGCACTTGAGCTTCCAAAGCAAAAAAACAACATAACCACAAATACACAGTGTTGCCTTGCATCCTAGACCGAACAACCAGAAAGAACCAACATACACAGCGTTTCCTTGCATCGAGGGCGCCAAACACGTTGTATTCTTGTTTCTGTATTACTACAAAGAGGAGGAAACGGAAAGGAGAGTGAGGAGGAGGAGGATGGGCGAGGAGGAGGGGCCGCCGCCACCGCCCCGACCGTATAGGCCGGGTCGTGGGGGGATCTCTGCGTCCCCGCGGCCGCTTCGTCGCCCTTCCCCCGGCAGGAGGCTGGGCCCAGCAGCGGCCCGCGGGCCGGCTGGGGCAGAGGCGGCGTCGGGGGCTTCGCGCAGAGAGGAGCTCGAGGGAGCTCGCGCGGCGCGCGGAGCAGAAAAGAGAGGTAGAGAGGGAGGGAGAGGGAGAGGGGAAGAGAGGGGATGGAGAGAGAGAGGGAGAGAGAGAGAGAGAGAGAGCAGCAAAGAGAGAGAGAGAGAGAGGGAAAGAGGGAAGGAGAGGGGAGGGAGAAAGAGAGAGGGGAGGGAGAGAGAGAGAGAGAGAGAGGTAGAGGGAAAGAGGGAAGGAGAGGGGGAGAGAGGGTGCTGGGGCCTGGCGGCGGCCGCGGCGGCCGTGGGCTGCGGCTCGGGCGCAGGGGCGCCGGGCCGCGGCAGGC